CTGCCACATGTACCTTTGACGCAACAGACCAGGTCAGTGCACCCTACTCTAGAGTAGATGACCTGGGGTAGCCTATATGTACCATGTATAGACAGAAAGCGTATGAATGGCATGTTCCACTGGATTTGGCACAGGTTCAAGGTTTCATGTAACAGTTGCCACATTTGGACAACATGTTATTCTGGGCTATACCATTCAAACAGGTGGGGGGGGGGTCAATCAAAGATATTTATCATCAAATTGAAAGGATGGGGGAGGGGGGAATTTTCTAACACGAAAAGAGTACTCAGATGAACTTTAAAGAAAAAAACAGGGCTGACTTTCTTGTGGCAGTGACACAGACTGAAAAAAATACACTCAGTATTTACATTATGGAGTCAACATACCTTTATGTTTTGGGAAGATCTTCTGCCTCTGAAGCTTAGGTTTCCTCTCTATTACTGGGTTGTAGAAGGTTACCTAGTGTGGACAAGGACAAAAGTTAGTAACAGGTTAACGTGCAAATATTCTGCCATTTAAAAAAATTACACAAAAAATACAAGATTACAAATGTACATTTTGGAAAAAAAGTTTGATATGCAAACCCTTGTGTTCAGAACATGACTTTTATAGAGCACATACTGCTTGCCTCCATATATATAGAGTATATGCTACTGACATCTATCTACAATCTACAATAAAATCTAATGCCTCTAACCTCATTAGAGCATATACATGTACTATATTACTACTGACCTCTATGAATAGTTTCCCTGTGGGTTCGATGTCCACACACAGGCCGTGCCTCTGGTTGTCCAGGAAGTCCTCTAACCTCAGGTACTTCATCCCACATAATGACCGCCAGTCCTTCCAATAGATTGCTATCTCTAACTCCCTTGACTGAGGAAGAGTCAACAACAACAACAAAAACATCAGCAGAACATACATCAAAAGTAAATAACCGAGTAAACAAATTTGATATACTGAATATTAAAGTTTTTTTATTCACAACCACTCGTTTATAAAAAAACAAGTGGCTGTGAATAAATAACTTTGATATTCCCTCAATCAGCAACCCGATGAAATTATTTATGGAAATTTGATATACATGTACCTTTATCAGTACAACAGTACATGAAGTTTCAAAATCTACACTTAGGCCTAGGGAAAAAAAATGTTGTGTTTCCTGACCGACCCTAGGACAAAAATGCCAACCCAAGCCTTTTTTTTGGGGTGAACCCCAGCGAGGGACATAAATTTTTCGAGCTGATCAACCTTTTCTAGCTCCATGATCTGACACCTGAGTGAAGAAATGTTGTACAATTACATGTAGATGTCCAACATTGGCATTGAAGATATAAGTATTCTCATGCAAGTTTTACTTTGCTAAACTGTATTGTATAAGTAGGATCACTAGCTACATATGTATAGAAGTCCCCAAGGTAAAAAAAAAGAATAAAAAAAGATAATCCCTACCTAAATGATGTTTTTGTACTGACCCTAACTTTTTAAGGACTGAAACAGGAAACACAACATTTTTTTCTAGGCCTTAGTAAGTATCAAAAGCAAAAGGATATTCTGAAGTTACTAACCCTATCTAAGTCTATATTAAATCTCTGGTCCCAGGCTTGGTTACTACATGGCTTCCACGCAGTTTGGCTAACCATTTTGTTGTCTAACTTCATAACTGCCATAACTTCATCTGAAAATTAAACAAGAAAACTGGTCAAATATGGCAAACATCATGTGCACATACAGTGTAAAATTATACTACATCATAGAAAACATTTCAAATTGAGTTTGTACAATTTAAAAAGGAAGGAAGACAAAAACAAAGTCCTGTTCCATTCCAAAACAATTTTAGTAAATTGAAGATGGAAAGATATTTTGCGACAGTAATATCCAGAAACCATGCCGTGAAAAGCAACACAGTGTCGCAGAAGGTAGCAACTAATTTGTGAGCAGAACATTTGACACCTTGCAAAAAAGTAGCCGATTATTTGTAGGCAGGGCATTCAACCCCATTCCTTAAAGGTTTATGCATGCTACACCTTAAAAAGGGGCACAAAAAACAACAAAACATGCACAGTCAGAAAAAGCGCAGAACTATCACCTTCAATATCTTGTGCTTTAAAACAGCCTGGTTGTGTGCAGGTACAAAGGAAAAACTCACATGTACAAGGGCAACACCACAAAAAACAGACACCCCTAAAACTGTAGCTGACCGTTAATCAGGTGCACAGGTGTCTCTACAAATTAATTAGTATTTACAAAGTGCACACAGCATCTAATAGTAGAAAAGTGCAAGCAAAATTGAAGCTGTATGTATGAACATTAAAAAAAAACAGTTTAGACTAGTACTACATGTACCTTTGCTAAAATATTGTTTGTTGAAAAATATGCAGATCCAGAATTTTCTAGAATTCCACCACTTCCGTTGAAGCCACAAAGTTATAAACACACACAGATGAAAGCACACACAAAGACAAACAGAGGCAGACATGCACACACACAGACACACACACACAGACAGACACACAGAGATACAGACACCTGCAGTATTAATACTTACTTGATAAGTCATCTTGTTTGACACTGTAAGTTTTGCTGCTGTTTCGCCCGTGGAAACTGCGCTTGGCCGACATGAACCCTCCGCTCTTTGTCTCCCCCGGGCTGCTGATGGGAAACGTGGGGCTGCTGCTCCGCGACCGTCCCGGCACGGTCTCCAACAGGTCCTGACAACCCATCAGCCGAACGTCCAGACGACCTACAGTACAAATAACAATCAAAAATGCATAAAAAATCTGTCTGCTGTTTCACTGTCCATTCCCACTGAAAAGTCTCGCCACAAAAAGACGTCAAACTCCCTTAGCTTCCTGCAAATGTCTACCAAAAAGTGGTCACACTGACCAGGCGGTGCTTAATATATAGAGGTGGTCACTTGTACAGGTTTGGCGGTACATGGTACATTTTTGTATCATTTCCAGTTTTTACATTTCCATTGTCATCCATAAACGTCTTTGTTCTTCAAGATTTACTACTTTCCCCCTAAATCATTTTTATGTGTTACTATCCCCATTCATTTAGTCCAGATTTGTAGAACCTGAAAAGGTCTAGTCCAAATGAGAGCCACCTGTATGATACAGAAAATACCCCTGTAGGGTTTCCCCTTGTCAGACTATACATCAGGAGTTAGATACAAGATCATTCATCACTACCTGGCCACAAGTACTAGTAGTTGGTTCAGAAAAGCAGTATTCCTATTGCTAAATACTGCATATACCTATGTTTCATCAAAAATCTTAAACCAAACTTTACATTTTTAGAAACAGACTAAACAAAACCATAGAAACTATAGAGCACAACGACCAATTACATTTTTTAAAAATGATCTAAACTTTTGTTTTAAAAAAATACATCAGGAGTTAGCCTCACCTGTGAGGGCGGCAGGCTTGGGATAGGCTGAGTACGTCTGCTGGGTGTAGCTCCCAGACGTCCTGTAGGACACCGGCGAAGTCAGCGAGAGTTCTGACTCGATCTCCTTCCTCTTGTCTGAGGCCTCGGGCATGTTCTTCAAGTGTTTCTCCAAGGAGAACTTCAAGATGTCCAGCTTCTGGGACGACTCCTGGAGTTTGGTTTGTGCCTTTGGAAGATACAAGACAGTCACTTCAATACTTTGGCTTATAAAAGACACAGTCAACTATTCAGACCACTTGGGAAGAATTTGAAATCAATGCGTTCCATATGTAGAGATATTCTTGTATTTGAGATCCCAATTGTATTCTTATCCCTTGGTACACATTTGAATGGCTAAATGTTTGTGGGTTCAGCAAGCTTGCTAGTTTCGCATTATTTTATTTTGTAAAACCAAAGGACCAGAAATAATACTTAGTTCTGTATCACATTCTTTATCCACAGCAGTGCAAGCTTTTGCAAGTTGTAGCGAGGACAGTTGACAGTTAATGGTGACAGAATGTTAGGAGACAGGAGTGGAGAGAGTTTGAATTGGTGTTTGTGTTGCATTTGTTGTGACAGCATGGGTCTTGTACATTCCATACATTGAAAAGGAAAATACACATATTGCACACATACATAAAGTACATATGAATTACATTAAATCCTACAGATACAAGATTCTACTACCGTTATAGGTACATGCTAGTCTGTAACAGCCAAACCATATCTGCTAAATCTAATACATTTTCATACAAACATAATCCTACATTGTATGTTCATAAAATCCTATAAAATAGATGTATCTAAAAATTTCTCTGAAAGAAATAAAATTTACAACTATTACTGCACAAAAAGTACAAATAAATATGAATTAGTAACTATGTACTTGCAGATTTATTGGTAAAGCATATTAACTAAATCAAAACCAATTCTCTAAAACACTGGTATAATGTCAAAGTATACAAATTCTATTGTCGGTACTAAGATGCACACCAGATTGCGATTACAGATCGAAATAGTTTCTATACAAACATTACAAGTTTCATGCATGATAGCACAGTTTCCAACCATGCTGAGGTAGTGAGTGCAACATTAGAACCTCTCCACAAATGTCAACAGTGGTCAATACATGTACAAGCTGGTGTGTAGGAACTGTGTGTTAGCCTCTTAACTAGTAACAACAGCTGACATGCCTCATGTCCTGTAGACCTACACTAACAAATACTCACTAACTACTAGTACATGTACACACTACATACATGTAAGTTATTCTTTGTAAATCTAAGGAAAAGAAAAAGGGTGCTACAATGATTTACATTTTCACATAATTTTTTTTGTACCAGCAAAAAACAACAACACATTCCTATAAAAATACTTTCCAATATACACATTGCATATAAAGTCATGCCTTTAATAAAATTATATACATTTAACTATGATTACTACCTAAGTTAGTGGTGCTGGTACAAATGTACATTGTGTTATGAATACAGCTTTATGTTTTTTGCCTTTTATAAGTACAATGTAACTTTACTTCAGATGTATGTTGTTAGACCAAAGTTGAACAGCAAATATTTGCATACAGTATTTACATTACAGCTTGTATCATATTTAACTGGTTACACCACAGCAAGCCTTGTTGTTCCATGCCCTGGGCTTACCTCTTCTGTACAGGTTATGGTGCGTTTTTGGCGGCGCCTGGTCCCACTGCCCCATAACCTCATGTGGTAGACGCGGGGGCTCCAGTGCCCGTTGGAGGCCTCCTCGCTGAGAGACCGACTGCACCACCTACTGCCAGACTTCTGCTGCCACCCAGACGGTACAAGGGTATTGTAGACAACATGGTGCTAGTGGGCTTTTTATATTACAAGCCCACAATTCCTGAGTCCCTTCATACTAAAATCATAGTACAGCTAGTTAGCACAATTATACTCAACCCTAGATTATCATCATCATCATTGTTTATATGATGATGACTGTCTACCAACTGTTAAAAACAAGGTTAACTTTGGTACTCTGGTTTACAAATGTAGCTAGGACATTACAAGAATACTGATTATCATGGCAAGTTAATGGGTGTAAAACTGTAATATGCTGGAACTTGGAGCATATTCTGGCCAAGGTACTGTATACATGTACATTCTGACTTGCTAAACATGTAAATGTTATGATCTGTTACACTGTTAATTCTACCAAGAAAACAAGACTGCCTTAATCTTTCATATAAACAAAACATTGTTTCGTCCTTTTTGGTGTATTTTTTACATCACATATATCATTTGTAACTTTCTGTAGTAGCCTGGAGTCTCAGTTAGATTAGTTGCATGACATGGTTTGTCTGGCAGGTGTGATGAGTTGTGTGAGTGTCAGCTGTAAGCAGGTGATAAGGGCTTCATGTATGCAAAAGTAAATGTAAGTCAGCAGGCAAGAGGACAGATTCAGGTTAAAAGAGAGCTTGACATGGAGATATGAACATGAAGGCAGCATCATTGTCAACATGTAACAGCAACTAAACTACTTTATAGAAATTTAAAGTCACCACCCACTATTACTTTTACCAATTACCAGAATGTAAAAATCAACTACAGCTTTTGTCCATTTGAAATTTGATTCATATTGGCTTATGATGGTAATCTACAATAGCTGCAACAAAGCATTTAGCCTTTGAGCAATGATACCAGTACACTTTCAGTCAGAATGATTTTCAATCAGCAAATTTAGCCAGGTTATATTCAGTCACTCCAACTCGCATGGTCAGTGAAATGTTAAATGTATCCCACTTCTGACACCAGTTACAGTGGGTAGATTTGTTTATGACAGATGTATCAAACTCTCTAACCCTTCTCCCTGTAACAGATAACCTGGTAGGCACACATCCCTGTCCTTACCTCCGACACAGCTCTCTTGTCTGTCTCTTTCCCTGCGCCCAACAGTCTCACCACATTCTTGGCGCCCTCCACGATGGCCGACTCGATCTTCATGTGATGTCTGAGGGTCGCTATCCTCAGTTCATCGGCGCTACCGCTCTCCAATGGACTCCCGGCTACCAAAACACACACAAAAAATTAAACTTTTTTTTGCCTATTATCCTTGCATATCTAGTACTTCAGTGATCGATCAATCTATGAAGTTCAAGTTTTCAGAATTTTTTTCACTGAAAACCAGACATATCATAAGCAACCTTACTCAAATGTTTGCCTCCTTTTGCACCCCAGCTTCTAATGCCTCCGCCCCTGAGGTGTTGCCAAAAAATTGCTACAGTCACACAACCAATAGCATGTAACTACAATGTACATCCTTTCACCATGTTGAACCCTAACCCTGCCACCCTCCACATCATCATGTACATGACATACACAGACTTAAGTTGGCCAGTCCTCTCAGCAGACGTTGGGTGGTGTAAGTGTCTGTGATACCTGCAATGTAACAAATTTCTACATGTCTTGTACCAACTCGCGTATCAACTAACAGCTGGACTCCAGAATATCATTCTAAAGCTACCTAATAGTATGTACATGTACCAAATGTCTTTGCCAACAAAAAACATATCATCTATATGTTCAAAATAACCCTGTATCCTATTGCATGAAATAACACTAGTAGTAGTAGTACTATAGACTACAACAGACTACAACAGATTTACTGTCACATTCTAATTCATTACCTTTCTGAGACTTGATCACTGGTAGCATAAAGAGGAGACAGATACGTAATAAGCAGGCACATACTTGAGTACCAAACACTAATTGCTTCAAACATGACAACATGACTGATTGTATAGGTTTCAGTGATTGAATCATCAATCTACTTGTAATATATACAGGGCCAATCTTTTAATCAGAACATCCCCAAAAACGTGTTGATATCATCAGCTATAAATAGTGTAATAGTCTCAAGGGAAACATACTCAACTCAAACACAAACAAACAAACAGACTTACACGGTGTTGCGGTATCCCCAGATGAAGCCTCGGGAACGTTGTTCTCCTGACTGGACTGTGTCTCTGCCTTGAGAATCTGCATGCGGATGATCTCTATCTTGGTCCTGCTGTCCTTCAGCATCTGCTGGGCTTCTGCTAGCAGCTTACGGTCCTTGGAGGAACCTGTGAGGATACGGATGTAGGACTATGTATTTCTTACGACCTTACGAGTTGTGCCCCTAAACAAATTTTAGATTCAGCTACATGTAAGGGTTTAGGTACAGACCCAGGCCTGTGTCATGTAGCTGTTTTTCAGTGGTAAATTGTTGTCATGTAGCTGTTTTTAGTGATAAATTGTTGTCATTATAAGAGAGTTTACACATTCCAATATAAAAACAAGAGTATTGACAAGCTTCCCTGACTTTCATTTGATACATTGTGAAAATAGTTATAATATGGAAGCCATGTGATGATGTACACTCCAGGATTGCCGATTAATTTGCACAATGTTGCTTGCCTGTCCTTAGCTTGGGGTCAAGACAGGACAGAGCTCCTATTTTCAGACTGGCAGTCTTGCATACAAACTCAGTAGCAGCCTTGGCATTCAGAGAGATTTAATACCACCAAGTTCACCACGTATTTGCCAGCGGGAAGTCAAATAGTGATGAGATATCATCAGTTGCCTGTTATATGTGAACACTTGCTGCCTGGGATGCTTTGTGCTCCAATCCACATTCTTCAACTTATTGAGTTCCTGTTAATGAAATACTTCTGCCCCATGTTATGAGCTGTCTGACTGTAATAGATTGTACTGGCCTGGCCTAGATGATAGGAAAACTTTGATGACTTAAAAACATTACAAGTAATAACTTCTTCTCATCCTGACGCCTTTAGGCCTTGAGGCCTGTAAGTTGTCAGCCTCTTGGTCAGTCTTTTCCACTCTGTTCTATCTTCAGCTATTTCTTTAACTACTCGGAAGTCTGGCTCTTCTCATCTTGTGATTTCAACGATATGGTCCAACCATCTTTGCCAGCTGGCCTTTTCTTTTTAGGTTTCCAATCAAAGATTCTCAAGTAATAACACTATAGATAATACTGAAGGTTTGCAAAGTGAAAAGTAAGTTAAAGTCCTTTTAATGGTATAGTGGTGGTGTTCGTTTTGGTCTACAGATATGCCCTCTCAGAAACATGTTCAGTCCTCAGACTAGTTGTGCGTACCTGTTGAGTACATGTTGAGCATGTTCTCTGCCCCCTGTTTGACCTTCATCTCGATAGTCAGCTGTTTCTGCAGGGCTGACACGCGGCTGTTGAAGTTGGTCCCACTGTCTCGCTTGGATCCCTTCTCATCAGGGGAGAACGGCTCCGAGTCTGCAACACACAAAATACACAAGGTCATTATCAAGTCTCACCATCTTCTGTTATAGGCATTGTCTAGTGGTTAGTAATGACAGTTAAACCGGCCACCCAGGGGACCAAAGAAAAGTGGACAGGTGGTCTCCTTGAAGAGGGTCGCCTCACAACATGACTGAGACATAAATGGTTTTCAAGTCGAGATGCTTTAATGTCAAATGCTGCAAGCATCTTCAGTTCTGTGGTGAATGCATGTGGGGAGGGTGGCACATGGAACAATTTACGTCAAAAACATTGTCCAGCAGCTGATGCAAAGTGCCTGTTTTTCCCCATGATTTCTCATTATGATCGAAAACGATGTGGTTACCATGATGGCATGAGCAGGTATCGGGCCTTGAGCTGACCCAACTCAGGGCAGTTACAGTCGCGTTGGCCAGGTGGTCACCTTGGGCAGGTTGCTTAATGCTTGTGTCAATGGGTAAAATTTTTGGGACTGAGAAAAAGCGGTCACCATGGACAGATGGCCAGTTTGAAGAGGTGGTCAGCTTGGCAGGTTTGACTGTACTTGACTTGGCATATTTTTTTCTCACAGCCATTGTTAGATTTAAAACACTTTGTTTTGTCTGCCTCCATTCCAGCTTGAACATTGTTCAATTTGTGCACCAGCCAATGACGTGACTAGAACAAAATAGATTACTTCTACAAACCCTTTCAATGGCGGTATGCCAATTTTTAATGTGATCTCCACATCTGCACCTTTACTCTATATATGTACAGGTATCCTTGGAGATGATTAACCTTCATAGGACTAAGGATGTAGCCTACATTCTAACTTGGGCAGGTCATATGAGGTGGCCCTGCTTTGGATTTGAGCGATGGTCCAGTTATCTTCAAGTACTGAAAGACCCATGTAAAAAATGCATGTTGCACAACTGTTTGTCTGCAATCAGTGGTCGAAATACTTTTTTTAGTGCTCTGCAATATTGCAGAAGAGTCAAAATTTCGTCCTGCAATTTGGAAATACTTTCTGCAAATACACAAGCCCCCATATTACAACATTCTGAAACCAATAATGCCTATTTTTACATCATATATATATAACGGTATAGCTTTGTAAATCTGTAGCATTACTGAAATTCTTCAAAATATCACTCTTTTAAATATGTTCGGACCGTAAAATTTTATCGGTCCGGTCCAAAAAAACCCGAAAGGTCGGTGGACCGGTTTTTTTGACCGGAACAAAAATCCATATTTGTTGTTACTGAATAACTGATGATCACTACATACAAAGAAGCCTGCCAGGAAAATGAAAATCCAGCCTTCAAATAAAAGAAGTTTACCTTAGTCTCCGTCTCTCTCATTTTGCAACAATATTTTCCCGTATTTTGGTACCGATAGTCATCTAGAAATCATAAAGGACAAGTCTACGGGCCGTGCTTGGTTCGGATCGAGCCGAAAATCACTGATTTTACACAATATGGTCACAATGTGATGCACGTAAATTTGCACACGAAATGAGAAATTACCGCCCAACAAAACGGACCATTAGGTTCCCAGTGCTGTATTTCTCTTTTGTTCATGTGATCAACTTGTTTTCTTTGCTTGAATCGTGCAAAATACCAAGGAAAAACATCGAAATTTCGGCAAATTAACGCCGAGGCGAGTGCTTGGTTTTTCGGAGGAGCCATGTTTCCTTTGCCGTGTTGCCTGCTGGGAAATGCTCAGCGAAAACTGCCGAAAATTGCCGAGGCAGTTGTCGGGTCCTCCCGGGAGACAAAATCTAACATCTGAAAATGGCGAGTGCCCATATTTGGTTATCGTCGCCTTTCGTCGCCTTGTCGAAATCGTTCAACTTTGACCCCAAATTCCCTTATATGGGAACATTACAGTCTGCTGGAAAACGCCGGCAGGTTCATGCGCGCGTGCGGCGCAGGTTTTCGATCTATTCACAGCGCCACTGCTTTGCTAATTGAAAACTATTGAATCCGGAGCCTATTTTTTTCTTCTGCAAAATTGCAGATTGTAAGATTTTTTCTTCTGCAATCTTGAAAATCTATCTGCAAATTGCAGACTGCAGACGGGTATTTCGAACACTGGCAATAGTATATAATAAGAGCATAAGAGATAGATTTTAGTTGTTCTCTATTACTTTATTTTGAGTATGACATGAGGGAAAAGGAAGTGTTCACAGTGTTTGAAGTTCACCCACCATAGTGCAATGCAAAACAGCGCACAGGTTCTCGGTATGAAGCATTTTTGCATAACATAAAACCACTATAAATATTCCAAAATTTACAGCAGTTCATGTATGCACTACAAGTACACAAACATGTAAAACTAAAACTTAAAGGGTATACAGTCAGCTTGGCTTTTTAATTCAAAGCAGCACATGTTGCCGTGAGCGACACAGACTGACTCTGAGAAAACTGGTGGGACTGGGACAATACAGCCATAAATATCCTCCCGGAACGACCTTGTCACATGTAACCGCAGGTACAGAGGTCGCACACATGTCCTGGGGCGAGACCTGACACCTGAGATGACACCTGGTGATGAGCACACCTGGATGACAGCTTGTAACAACAAATAACACCTGTTCCAGTCTTCCTCTCCTCACAGTTTACCTGCACACACCTCAACTTCCTCTTACTTCTTTAACTTAGTCATAGAAATATTTATGGAAAACAGCTCTGCATTTCTATCCTCCAAGCAGATGTTGGGGTGGAAAATGATGTTTTCTGGGCTTTTCTGATAGAACAACTGGCCAATCAGGAATCATTGTGATTTTTTTAGCCCAATATTTGTTTGGAGATCACTGCATTTCTCTTCTAAGTTCTATGGCATTCTACAGGTTGGAAAATATGCTGAGAAGGCACAGTAAACTCTGACTGAGTTTATTTTTTTGGGCAAGTTTATGTTTGTTTGAAACCTTGTTTATTCATGAGAAGCTAAAACTGGCCTGCAGGCTGCATCTAGTGTATGATTACAGTGTAACAGACTGTTTTAGTTCTACCAAATGCCATAGGTGACTATTTAAACAGTTTACCTTGTACAATACCGTACCAAACACACATAAACACGCTGGGTTTTCACACAGACTCGCTAATCAGGGATTCTTCTGTGGGTCTAATGGATAAACATGGGGCGCTAAAAGGGTAAACACATGCCAAGCATTTGACAACAATGCTAAAAGGTAAACAAGCCCTCCCCTCCTAGTGTGTTGTGTATTGGGCCTCATGTGTAAACCAATCAGCAAAGAGGAATCATTATGTAACATATGTATCTAAACAAATTTTAGGTACAGGTAACAAACAAGTGTGGCCAATCACAGTGTAGGTTATTTTTGAACCAACTGTCTTTTTTCAAGGTAAATTGCTGTCGTGAACTGTTACAGGGTTTGCATATTTCAAATTTTTTTTTAAATCTGAAAATTAAAATAGTAAAATAGTTTTAGCTCGTCCAAACCAGGAGTGCTGCTGCAGTACCAAGGAAAGTTGCCAGGAGGCCCATAATCGACTGTGACCTTTGTCTTCCAAGACCTATCCACATACCAATCACACCTTGAAAACAAAACCTATGTGCAAGGAGGTAAAAATGCTACAAGAAGGTAATAAAAATGCTGGATAGAGTCGCTCAGTGACTTCATGTAAACACTAGTTGACTGCTGCCTACCTGTGTAACTTAAGGTAGCAGCAGTATAATCAAAGACTGGATACAAGTGCTAATGGAGTGCTAAGTCATCCTCAAGTTCAACTATTGTTTATTCAGGGCTTTGGAGTTAGTATTCAGAACGGACATGTCTTTTCTAAAAAAAGTAAATCCCAAATCCTATTTGATGCGGTGAATAAACCAGGCTTTTCACCCTGCACCTGTGTAAAGCTATCTGTTATTCTACTGAAGTCTTTGGAAAGTTCCTGACTTACAATGAGTGCTAAGTAATAAAGGGGGTGTTGAAAAGGGAGGTAGGAAAATCAAGATTGATAACAGTAATTATCCTACTTCAAAGTACAGTGAGGGCTTCTGGTACGATAACACAAAAATCGTTTAGGTACAAAATATGGAATGTTGATGTACCAGTCTTACACCTAAAGAAAATTACACTCAAATATACACTTATTTTGTGTCTAAAATGTGTAATTCCTTCCACAAAGATCAAAATTTAGCACTGAAAAAAGACAAAAAAAAATAATTGTATGGGCTTTTGTATCAGTGCAAATTTGTTTTGAAAAAATTCTACTTGCCAAATAAACAATTTTTTTTAAAGATCTACTGTTTCTGTTATCATTATAATATTAAAAATCACAGGATACTTTTTTGAATGTACATTAAGTATGTAACAGACTGAACCTAAAACTATGAACCTGTACCTGATGTTATATTTAGGTGCGTAGCTCAAAACATTTAAATGGTGAGAAAGACTTTTTACCCTTTTCCTCGAAAACCCAATTACCATACAAATCACTACAAAGATGTAGAGAAAAAACAAACACAGCCATTTGCCTTGCTTGTTGTTGTACAGAACAAAGGTGCTTAGTCATCACGACTTCCTACCCTTTAATGAGCAAACCTTGAACTCAAAATAATGCAGGGGTCAAGGCAAGACACCTTACAGAGTGTCATAATGACCTTCATATGGGAACACAGCCATTGTAGGTAAATCCTCTGACAACAAAGCAATGTAATGTTAGTTCATGTCCTAAAGACAGAGAACCAGACAACAATTTTACTCTTATACAACATGTACATAAAGTGATTTCTGTAAAAATGTAGATGTAACATTTGTTTTAACCTTCAGAGTGCCCATCTGGCACCTAATCTGTACTAGTTATGGGGTTACGGAGCAGGTAAAGTGCATACACCCTTATCGTTAATCCTTCTGCTAACCAGAAAGTCTAAGGTTTAAGTGGCCATGTTATTTCTTTTGTTGCAACTGATCAAGTCAAAAGGACGCTACCACACCTCTTGTAAACCTTCCTGTATTCAACTAGTGTTCCTAGTGTCAAATTTCTCCCTGCTGC